ACACACATAGACAACCACAAATTACACCCAAACTCACGGGAGAAATAATTGTAGGTCATACAAATATTTCTCCCGGCCCGGAAATCGAACCTGGGACCTCCGCGTGACAGTTCGGCATGGTAACCGTTCGGCCACTGAGGCAGTTAAAATTTGGTTCAAAATGGAAAAATAAAACAACCACGGTTTTTCGTCAAAATTTTATGAATTTTACTTGGTATATTGCGGATATATTTGCGTTGAAAACTTGAAACCGTAGAATAAGAGGCAACTTTGAATTGTTTTCTATAAAATACTGTGTTGTATGTTTTGGAAACAACAGCATTTTAGATAATATGATGAAGAATAATACACATTTTTTCCACTGCAACAGGATAAGCAGGTCTTCCTAAAAACGCTTTAAAGTGAAGCGTAATCGACGGTATTCAGCGTCTTAAATTGTTTTCGTTCAATTAATTATAGTGTAAAATTTAACTATTAAGACATCATAAACAATTTAGCACTTGAACTCTGTACTGCACTCTAAAAGACACTCTTGTATTGATAATACATCGTTCACTAATTTTCTCGTGCTGGGTGAATTGATAATGCAGCTCCGACCAAAAACCAGCCATCAACATCGTTAGTTCTCACATGTTACATTACCAAGTTGTGCTAACAGATGGGGAAATCTGAAACATGAGTTTCGTACGGAAAACAAGAAGAATGTTAAATGCCAGGTTTTTTGCCGACCGCATTGATAAGTTTGTGAAATTGTACTTAACGATTTCCAGCAGCAGTACTTAACCTGATTATAATCTACAGCGAACAAAGCCCCATAATTGCTCTGAGATGCCGAGCAACTATTTACCAACACGTCACAGTGTGTTTGACGCACGGTAATAACTTTCGGTTATGTTTTATATTACGAAATACACGCATTTGATGAACTCTCTGATAGATTTCGGGACAGTTTATTGTACGCCACGATAACAAAAGACTGCCGAGGTGTGTGAGGCTGTTTTGATTAAAACAACTATTTATGACGGCTCTCATTGTTTTGGAGGCGTATCTCCTTTCATGATTATGTTTTTATTGGTCTAGAGCAATGGTCTGCAAAGACATTAGTCGTTAACATTAGCCAATGATAAACAATGCAGCGATTGAAATATAATTTGTATATTCACTGCCTTCGTGACCAAACTTTTACCTTGCGGGACATATTTTTAAGGTCTACATTTATATATCTCGTAAGTTTGGATGTAATTTGTGGTTGTGTGGTTGTCACCTGCGATACAGGGTTGCCTTAATGTGGAGTATGTACGTTATTTGAGACCCAATTTTTCAACTTAAAGTATATGGGTAGGTACATTGTTATAAACTTAATCGTCCTCAGTCTGATTGAGGTATCTTTGCTGAGATTTACCCCTTTCAGCTCTCCCATCCACACATGTCTTGTATAGTTAATCGGTATCGGTATTTTCTGGAAGAGCGACACTTCTTGACTCTTGATCCAAAGAGCCGCACTAGTTTAAAATATCCGTAATTCTGGAGAAAACGCAGAAATATGAGGTTCTACGTTCTGATGCAATGAAACTTTCTTATATATCTATTGTACAATCGCACCCTTAGTATAACAAGGCCACATTTGTAAAATTACAACTCTTCAGGAGAGAGATTTAAAGATTCTACGAACGAAATAAGTCAATAGCTTTTGTGTGCTTAAATAAGAGTCCAGTGCCAAATTAGGGTATGAAACCAGTTTATTGGGTTTCATAAACTTTCCATTAACTGATTTGAATAAAACTTGGCACATAGATGTAATTTCAATTAAAATAAAAAACAGGGAAAACGGATATGTAAACTTCTGCAGTCGGTTTTTTTTATAAAAGCCATAATTGTTATTATTTGTAACTCCTTTTCTAACAGAATCCTCTCTCATTAAAAAATGTCATATAAATATCGTTATACTCCCAATGTTTTACAGTTTAAATAATCTGTAGGTCTTTTTATCAAAGATACTGTGAAATTTGTTCACAGGTGCAGACGACGCGGCTGCCACTGCCGACGTTCACACCACGCGCCGTGCTGATGTACAGTGCGGCGGTTGGGGGAGAGGGGGCGGTGGCTCTTCAGCTGCGGGAGGCAGCTCCTACTGAGCTGGACGGTACTCATCTCCACGATGACCGACTTGCCATTGCTTGCAACGAACCTGAGTTATTATCCGATTTGCTACATGCTGCCGCTGATGTCGGTAAGTGCCGTACTCCAAGACTTTATGGTAAAATCCGTTACCGCCTGCTACGATTGCTAAATTTGTAGTGTGATTGAACCACACGTCCTTTCACTTGGCCAAATAATTTTATCGGTACTGTGCTATCTATTTGTAACAAAAATAACGATTTCAAGACGCACCAAAAGTCATGACACGCTATGGCTGCTATTGGCAGCTTCTTACAAACTGAGCGGAGCAAAGCAATTAATATGGCCTTTTATTTAATATCTGTGAATGTTACCTACATAGCCTCCAGAGAACTAAAAAGTGTAAACGCTTTATTAATACCAAATGTTGTGACATGTTCGTTGATTTATTCAACGTTATAACTGGTGCATCAATATGCCCTCCGCACAGAATACATAATTCATCCTTCAAGCTAGGGCATTATAAATGTTAATCCGACACAGATATGACTTAACTAGAGCCAACAGAATTGGCATTCAAATGTCGCAGCGCCGTTCAACTTATTTTATTTGACTAAAGAATCACGAAGAGGTATTCTGCGACTTCCTCCCGAGATCCCAGCGCTGTGGCGGCTATTTTGAATTTCAAATAGTGAATTTAGCATTCGAAACTGGCTCCGAGTATTGCTGGTGGACAGCAGCAGCCGCGTGCTTGCATTTACTATCGGAGCCATTTAGATGTTGCGATTGTTTTGATTGCGACTTCATAATGAATGAGAAATAATTCATAGTGTTTGTTTACACCATACCCTGTCAACGATATAATTTCATGTGTGTCACATGTGCGAACACATGACAGTGATGTCAGTGTTTTATTAAATCGTATACGAATGCCAGTCAATTTTTATGAGATAACTTATAATATAACGCCATTTTGGAGACAATACTATGTTAGTTAATTGTCGTGTGCGCTTCGTGTATTTGTCTTAATTATAGGACAACGTATACACACTTAACACAGGTATAATCTGATGAGTATAACTGTGTTAAGTGTGTATATGTGTACAGAGTGATCTCTATCATAAGATTTCTTAAAGACGTGTTTTGTAAAATATAACTTCATAATCTGAATTTGTTATATCGCAATATCAACTTTACCCCTTTCGAACATTAAGGTTATTAAGCTGTCAGAAAACAAAAATTCTTTTGTTCGCGAAAGTAAATGTTTCTCCAGAGATTATGAATATTAAAAATAAATTCACAAAGACGTTGTCCTGAAAAAAAGTATAATATAATATTTAATCCGCTTTACATGTACAATAAGAATAATTCATCAGCTTCCATTTCATTTCGTTTTGTATAACTTACTTCTTTATATAAAGGGTTTTTCAAAAAGAACTTTGTTTTGTAAATCAAAATAAAACAATAAATTTAGATGACAATGATCAATTTTTTTTGTATTAAAAAAGTAAGATTTGGCATTTATGAATGAAAAATGATATCTGATAAATGTCCACCACGACCACAGTTACAGATGTCGATTATTTATCAAACTTTTTAATCATTTTTTGACAAAATAATAATAATTTGTTTTACATAAAAATAGAACATGTTACATGGCATAGATTATAATTAAACAGGTTCTGTACAACAGTGTCTAAATAGGCGGTGACACATTCTACCCCTGAACTAGGTGGAGGTAACCTGTGTCTCAGGAGTTAGAGTTACTCGACGCACAATATCAACAAAAACGTGAAGCGAACGGTGTAACAGTTCCTACGAAAACAAAATAAATTTTAAGTGTAAAACAATAATTAGACCTGTATAACCAATTAAAAGAAAAAACTATATGAATTTAATACAATTTTAAAATTAAATTAAAAGAACGAAAAACAATAATGTGCCAGTAAGAACAAAAATTTTAACACACATAAAACGTGATATCAATGAAATTGAAATTAAAAAGAGTTAAGAAAGAATGCTTTGCAGTGTTTTATAATTAAAAAGGGGGTTGAGAGGAGATTCTCCATATAATCGTACGTAAGAGTCTGCAACTAATTTTGTACCTTAATTTTGACGTTGTGTTTTGTTAGTATGTAAATGGAGATTAATTTTTTACGTTATTGTAAAGCTCAGGCATCGAGACTTTCAACTGTCAACGAGCAAAAGAAGTGCGGCAAGAGACTATACTGGCTACGGATATCACTAACATGTGGTTTTAACAAGACGGTGCCATAGCCAGCTCGATGTCCATGTGATTTACCACAGCTGGATTATTTTTTATGAGGTTATGCTAAATATAGATTCTTAAAAATTGCAGCCTTAAAACTCAAAATTTCGCGAAGTAATATATTAACATATAGACTCACCGTTTTGTCAAAAAGTGATTAAAAACTTTGATGAAAGAATCGACAACTGTGGTTGTGGTGGACATTTATCAGATATCATTTTTCATCACAGACAGTTTTTCATTCATAATTGCCAAATCTTACTTTTTTTAATGCAATAAATATTTGTATCATTGTCATCTAAATTTATTGTTTTATTATGATTTACAAAACAAAGTTCTTGTTGAAAAACCCTTTACTTTTGCAAAAAATAATAACAATGATTGCTGATGAAACTACATACACATGGGAATTGTCAACTTATATCTCAGGCTGACAAGCGCAGTTGCAGCATAGTATAATAAGACGAGTATGGTTATTTCATACAAACATAGCACCGTGACATGTATGTGTGCCGGCTCGCCGGGTACCGTGTACCGACGCACACATTCCCATAATCTCGCGATGCATTCGCGTTGCATATCGCTGGTTATCCCACGCGCCTTCCATTATTATGCGAATGTGTGCGTCCGTACGCAACGCGTGGCGGGCATGCACAAATCCAAAGTCATGTCCGGCATACAAATGATCGTGTACCAATCACTATTCACGGTACAACGATTCTCCAAAGCAACAGAAACCGCGTGTCCAGTTTTATTAAAAAAAGAAGCAATTATCCGCTTAGAGGCACTTTACACGCGCGCCACTTTGATTGGTTTCGGCTCATCTCGAAAGATCCATACGCTCGATTGCTGCTTTGTTTTGGGATCGTAACCATAAATCCATGTTCCGTCACCTGTTACTATGTCCCACACCAAATTTGACGCTCCTTAAGCATGGCATTGCACCAAGTGACGCGATCAGTTTTTTGAGCCTTAGTCAAATTGTGTGGGATCTACCGAGAGCATAGCTTTTTCACACCCAAACTTTTGTGTAGTATTGATTGTATTTGACTCATGCCTTTAATCTCATGGTATGTCACATGTCTGTTTTGATCATACGGCGCACAGTATCGATGTTTTTGTTGTTCACAGCAGTGGACGATCGACCATCATGAAATTCGTCACTGAGATTTACACGATCGCGTTTGAATTCTGCAAATCAGCTGTAAATAGTTGTCTTGCATGGTGCTTCATCGCCAAAAGCAGTTTGATGCCGAGCGAAGCTCCGCTGAACTGTTAAATTACACTTAAAGTTGTATAAAATCATACTACGAAAATTTTCACAAGTTAAATCCATGGTGATGTAGACAACCAACTTCTAAAGTGACGCCACAATGTAAAAGCAAGTGACAGATGAAACAAACTGTATTCTACAGCCAAAACAGTTTCCAACCATTTTCAAGTGATGTAATTACTTTTTAAATATTGTTTATGTAAGTGGTCAGTTCCGGAAACTTATAGTGCGCCCTATGTATGTACATATTTTGTAGTTTATACTGCATATTTGTCCGAGTCCTAATTATCACTAATTACGGGTTTCTTACCACTTTTACCATGGAGTCGAGTCTGTGACCACGGAGCGTATAACCCGAAATGTTGGGAAAATAAAATTAACTCATACCGTGGTGACTAGCGCGTAATTAGTGATAATCATTAAGTAAATAGCCACGAAAGCCTTATTAACGTCTGTTACGTTGTCAACGGGAGCACTACAAATTGTCGCTATGCTTTTTCGAAACAAGCAGGTTTAAAAATAACAGAATTTAAACAGGAAAACGATTGTTGTAAAAAAAAATTTCGTATTACACAAATATACGAATTTAAAAATTCGTATATTTGTTTATTGTTTTCCATCCTCTGAGCATATTTGATGTAGATTCTATTCCAGACATAAAAAATATATGTGAAAAAAAAGTTGCTATTGTCAATTCTCGTTTTGCTTACAAATGCAAACTCATGCAAACGAGCTCTGAAGGTCCTTTAAATTAATTTATATCTCCTTAGACGAATGATGAAAATTCCTCAGCTATTACTAAGCGCGTAAATTGGAAAGATCCAACTGTTGTGCATTTCAATTACCAACTTGTCAGTCGATTTGGTAACGAGAAAATAATTAAATCTTCAAAGATGACCGACGTTGTTCTTGACACTTCTATTGTGATTTATTATTTGTTTACTTTATGCTTAGTTTTTCGGAGGGACTTACGTCACTCCTGTCCGTAGCAGTTCCAGTGCCACTATATATACATATATATATATAGTTCGTAGTATTCTGACATGTGACGAGGCGAACAAGTTGTGTTCTTGATGTTGAGCGACACGCCTGTCCATAGCAGTTACAGTGCCACTCAGAGTTTTAAATCGCAAAAATCTTACCTAGAGTCACTGCGACTGTCACCCTGAGATATAAGGTGACAAGTCCCACGTACCTGTAATTGCACCAATTTCATGGTTGGTTATTACGAAAAGTTAACAATTACACAGTATAGTAATAGTGATACATGACCAAAAGTTTTGCAAACCAATTAGGCTCAATTTATATTATTTGCATTATTTATGATAACTTTATATCAATTGTGTAACGTGCCAACGTGACATGAGCCAAAAAACAAGTCACACGTCGTCCGGAAAATTCTCTACTATTCCCGCTGCTGCCGGCTCGTATGTAGTTTGTACGTTTTTTTTATGGTACCCAGTGACGGAACGAACAAGTCGTGCACCTGGTGGTAAGCGACACGCCTGTATGGGCAGTTGCAGTGACACTCGGAGCTTTAAATCACAAAGATCTAAGGAGTACTACTGGT